GTCATTCACAAAAGGATAAATATTGTATGAGACCACTATTATAAAAAGTCAAAAAATGGTTTACATGTAGAAATATTGTTTGATGGTTACCAGGGTTGGGAAGAGGAGGGAAGGAAAATCACTAACTAGGTAGTAGACAGACACATGTTAACTCTGGTGAAGGGAAAGGCAATATATAATATGGAGGAAGTCAGCACAACATAACCAAAGCAAAGAAAGACACTGAGAGGTAGGCAAAAATAAAAGGCAACTACAGTAAATACTATAATATACACAATTCCACAATAGTAATAACAATAATTTACAAGTGGGTGCATAGGTAGATATATATGCTGAATAAGTATGGGCATACACCACGACCATATATAGATTTAAAAAAAAACCTTGCTGTCAAGTCGATTTTGACTCATAGTGACTTTGTAGGACTGCTCCATACGGTTTCCAAGGAGCATCCTGTGGATTCAGACTGCCAACCTTTTGGTTAGCAGTCATAGCTTTTAACCACTACACCAGCAGGGTTTCCATATGTAGATTAGGTCGTGGATATTTATACATACCTATTTGTATGTGCTGCATGTATATTCGTATATACAATAGAGCATACAGGGGAAACAGCCATATAAACTTCTTAGACATAACCAAACATCCCACAGAACTGAGTTACTGGGCTTGAGAGCTGGGGACCATAGTCTCGGGGGACATCCAGGTCAACTGGCATAACATAGTTCATAAAGACAACGTTCTGCATCGTACTTCCGTGAGTAGTGTCTGGGGTCTTAGAAATATGCAAGCTGCTATTTAGGATACTGCAGATCTCTGGAGCAAAGGAGAGTGCAGAAAACCAAAGAGTTATAGGAAGCAATTGGTCCAAAGGACTAATGGCCCACATGAACCACAGCCTCCACACGCCTGAGACCAGAAGAACTAGCTGGTGCCCAGCTACCACTACTAACCACTCTGACCAGGATCACAACAGAAGGTCCCAGTTAGAGTGGGAAAAAGATGTAGAACAAAATTCAAATTCATAAAAAAACCAGACTTACTGGTCTGATAAAGACTGGAGGAACCCACAAGTTTATGGCCCTCAGTCACCCTTCTAACTTGGATCTGAAGCCACTCCTGGAGATTACCTTTCAGCCAAATAACAGACAGGCCTATAAAATAAACAATAACGCCCACGATGAAAGTACTTCTTAGAAGAATCAACTATACAAGACTAAATGGGCAACATCTGAGAAGCTGAGAAGGCAAGAAGGGATGGGAAAGCTGGACAAATGGAAACAGGGAACTCAGGGTGGAAATGGGGAGAGTGCTGACACATTGTGGGATTGCAACCAATGTCATGGAACAATTTGTATATAAATTATTGAATGAGAAACTAATTTGTTCTGTAAACTTTACTTTCACCTAAAGCACAGTAAAATGTTCAAAACAAAACAAAAATACTGTATTATGACTATATTACAACTTCTTCCCCTAAGAAATACAAGTCAAATCTTTCTAGCATATAACAAATAAAATAACATTCAGAAGTACTATAAGCTAGAATTTGTATGATCTTAAAATGGAGGTAACAGTACTTATTTCTTAGGATTGTTCTAAGAATTAAATGAGATAATGTACATAAAGCACTTACTATGGTGGCCAGCACAAATTATGCACTCGATAAGTGCTATTTTTGTATTTATTTTTATAGAAAGGATGTGAAACAACCCTAAAATAAGGTTAAATGTCTTAAAAGTTTATTAGAGAAGTCTGTACAGGCAGACTGGTGGAATCACAGTCAAATATTCAGACTGATACATTCAATGAGGAAAGGAATCTTGACTTATCCTTTTAGTCCCAGCACCTAACACAGTATCTGGCACACATAACAGGTGCTCAACAAAGGTTTGCTGAGATGGAGTACAAAAGTAAGTTATTTGGGAGAAAATACAGGCAGCCTAAAAAATAAACTGAGAGTCCATAAATTACTATTCCCTAAGCAAGTCATCTCGAGAAGGAAAATAAAGTACCTAAACATTATTAGAACCATGAATAGAAATTCCACCTCAGGTTGGTCTTTTTAATAACGACCGAGCTACTCTCAAATCTTTTTTCACGAATGTATCATATGTAAAGTTCTATATTTGAGATACGTATCTTTAAATTTCATCTAATACATCTTGTGTGCTTCCTCAGAGGGGGGAAAAAAGTACCCAAAGCACTAATGGAATCTTCAATAGTTTTATTTTATTCAGGGTTGGCTTTCCATAGGACAAATCCTAGTTCTGACTCCCCTTCAAGAAAAATCAGATAAACTTCTTTTTATAGCTCTTCCATTTACTTCTACTTGAAAATTAGCTTGTGTTTTTACCCACAAGAAGGTGTAAATACACATAAGTCACTTTCACAAGTTCAAGTGCACACTCCAGAAAAGGAAGAAAACCAACTCTCTCAGAAGTGGACGGTACCATAGGAGTACAAAAGAGTGGTTAACAAAACTTCTGTCCCTTGTCTCAGCAGCCACCTGTTAGAGACCACACTTATGGCACAGTGCATGGACTCTAAGCCCTTTCATATTGAAAAGTCAAATTTCCCAGTGCAGTGGGCGAGGGAGCAAGTGTAATATGAAAACTGCAATCCCATCTTCCCCAACCAACACTCAAGGACAGAAAGGGATCAATGGACTTAGTAACAAATTTTTTAAAAAGACGTCTCCAGGTTATTGCCCACTGCCTCACTACGGCACCCTACTCTTCTTATTTGGAAATGGCTTGATTTTACAAAAAGTAAAAACCACACCCCTAATATAATACATTCAACTGCACAGTGCTTGGCTTCTGAAACAAGCAAGTAAAGTACATTTTCAGAGAGAAAGCTGGAGCTACATCTCATAAGCTTACTTCAAACTAAAATCTGTGAACAATGTGAAGTTACAAATCATACAATGGCCCAAAATCAGCAGCTGGAAGATTATGGAAAAAAAGTTATCATTAAACACATCTACTTTCTTAACAAAATGACAATGTTTTTCAAGAAAAAGAATTACCAAAGCTACTAATCTACATTACAATTTACAGAATAACAACAACGAACCTACAGTACAAAAAGTAAAATTGTTCTTAAATTATCATTTTCTTCCTATAGTGCTTTGAAAAGTATTAAATGCATGAAGGCACTTCAGAATCAGCGTCTAATCACTGACAACATTAAAATGATTTTTAAATCTAGTTTCTGGAACGTTCTGCAGTAGCAGTTTAAAAAGCAAACCAAATTTTAATAAGAAGCCTAGTTCAAAATCTAGAAGTACACATTAAAAAAATCCAGTTAATTTTTTTTTTTTTAAACTAAGAGGCAGGAAGGTCATAGGTACCAAGATTTGTAACACCTGAGTGGTTGACTCCAAATCAGTAAAAAGGTTTCTCTGGAATTAAAAATTTAAAATAATATCTTATCAAATATAACCTGACACGATCTTTTAAAATGACTTTCGTGTTAAGAAATTTTTTACCACTATGTAAGTCTCCACTGACAAAGCAAAACCTTCCAATACAAAGATTTTCACATCTCACATACACACACACACACCATTTGTAAATTAACCGGACGTAAATCCAAACCACTAAAAATTATCTAAAGACATTCAAAACACTTATTATTTGAAACATCAGACTTTAGTTTTCACATTCATTTTCCAGATCTACTAGTAAAGCTCTTATGGAATGGGTCTTCATGTCAATACAAGATTGTTCAATATGCCATTCCGTGTGAATAGAGCTTACGAGACTAATTCTCAAAACCGCCGCAGGAGATGCTTAATTACAGCTCTAGTTGCAATTTCCTGCGACTCAAACAGCAACAAACAGAAAACAGCTCCTACACAGGAAGAGGTGGTGGTAAGGGTCCAGGGGTGCGCCCCATTCCTTTGTTTTGGTGGCAGAAGCTGCAAAGATAAAGGTCCACCGGAGCTATCTGCAACTATCCACACCCACCATAACCCTGCAGAGCACTTTCATTCACTCGCTCCTCAAGACCCCCGCTAGCCCCAGTGGTCGGCAGAACCTTAGGCTTTCCACGTCTCAAAGGATGGGCGGGGGAGGCCGTGAGCTCCGATAGATACATAAAAGCGGGTGGATACAGATCCTTTGAGGACAGAGGGACAAGGAGATGCATCCAGATGGGGAGGATGGGACGCACCACGGAGACCCGAAGGCTGGCACATTCGCCGGGAGAAGAGCTTACGGGGCAGACACAGGATGATGCCTGTTCAGAGATGGACAGATGGACAATCCTCCATTGGGAACGGAGGCACAGCCGTAGGAGACCCGGTAGGAGACCCAAGAGGGCGTGAACTAGGCGGCACTGAACTCGAAGCCAAAAATGGGTTGAGACAGTCTCAAAGAGACCCATACGACGAAGCTGCGACTTACGGTTATACTTCCCGGGCTGAGGATAAGGGTCGGGTGGACCTCGCAGCTCTGGAGTTCTGCCTCCGCAGCGGCCGCCCCAGCCTCTAGCGCCGAGCCAGTGACCTCAGATACCCTCCCCACCCCACCGACCAGGGCAGGAGCCTCCTTCGTGCCGGCCCGGGTGCGCCCGCCAGGTGGAGGCAGCTCGGGCTGGTGGTGCGCACGGGAGGCCCGCGGGGAACACTGCGTGAGCCGAAGGCGCCCGAGGTGGGTCTCAGACTGGGCGGGCGCTCACCATCCCTCTCCGGCCGTCGCACCGCCTCACTCAGGGGAGGGCAATAGGGGGCGGTGGCTCTTGCCTCCGTCTCGCGGTCAAGTCCGGCTCATCCTCCAGCCTGCGCGCGCGCGCAGTCCCGGCCGTCCCCCTCCACCTCCCCCGCCTCCGGCTCAGCAGCTGGCGCCCCCGCCGCCACCACCCCCGCCCCGAGCCACCTGCCCCAGAGAGGCCGAAGCGCCGGCGAGAAGCGGCAGGAACAGCAGCAGCTTAGCCGCCGACCCGGAAGCTCTTCCTCTGCCAACCGCGAGGCTGCAGGGGGTGTGGACCCGGAAGGGATTTCTCGCCCCGGTAGCAACGGGTTGGGAAGCTGAGGCCTTTGATGATCCTGGAGTCCCTAGTTTCAGGAGAGGGTGAGGGTTGTATGGTGCTCAGGTGCCAGGAGCGGGAAGGACAATAAAGAGCCAGTGGGCGAGCGGTTATCCGAGACCAGAGACCCGAGCTCCTGGGGCGCGGGGCGGGGAGCGCGGCAGAACACGCCAAGCAGCTTCTGTTGACGACCGTGGGTTTTTCTGACACAGGAAGTTGGGCCTGGCCGCTGGCGTCGCCAAGGCAGCTGTGCCTGGGAGAAGGGAAGGAGGAATGAGAGAACAGTGACGGTCCTCCCCCTCGTCCCCCCCCCAGGTCACTGTCCCACCCCGTGAGTTGAATGTAGCCGCCCGGGAACCGCTCGGCCGCCCGCACGGGTGGGACCGCTGGGTTTCCTTCGGGTCAACGAGGAGGAGCAAGATCCAGACTCCAGCGAGAGAAAACAGAGAGGCGGGAGACTGAGACATCTCCACATCTAGTTTCTCCAGGCAAGGAGTTTATATCTTACAAGTAGTTACAGAGGCGCCAACGCCACTTTTTGGACGGAAGCTCTTTGAGCGAAGATGCTTGCACGTCCTTTCCCGGTAGTAGAAGTAGATGGATGGTGGCTGAGGAGAAAACCTCCGAAGCAGTGTTTATTTTTATCATTGTAGGGAAGGCACTTCACAGCTTGTCATTCTAGCTCAGCTCTGCCCTCTTCCCTTTCCCCCTATGTTTTAAGGTGTTTTTTGTTTGCTTGGTTGCTTTTTTGTTGTTGTTGTTTTGCTTGTTTGCTTAGCTTTTTCTCCACGGTGTTTTTAGCTTTACCAGAAGTTCCTTTTATCTAGTTGTCCCAACTGCAGATCTCAGCTCCATTACTTTCCCACTCTCTCAGCTTGTGTCTTCGTAGTTTCTGTTTGTTAAATGCTTCCTCCGCATCTCCAGTCTCTTAACTGCCTTGATGTCCTCGTCGTATTTGAAGGAAGTGGCAAAAACTCAGCAATGTTTTCATGATCGATATGAAACCAAATAATTCATTCCATTTTTTCCCCTTAACCCTGTGTTAATATATCCGTTGATTCCCCCTTAGAAGTGTGTTGTAGAACTACAGTGGCAGTTGATAAATAGCATATTTACAATACTAAGAATCAAATCAAATGAGGTATCAACCTCATTAAATGTACTTTGTGTCAACTGTAGAAATTCATTCGACTGCGAATTTCAGTGTTACTTAGTTCCTTCTCAGCTAGATTTAGTATAATTGCCTTCTAAAGCTATGTGAGGATGTATTAGATATTTAAATTACAAAATGTTGAATTGGCAAATGTGTTATATATATTTCTGAAACAATAAAAAATAATTAAATTACAGAATAAAATGTCACTTAACAGAAAAAAAGTTCTTGAAAATTATTGGTGATGCTTGTTGATATTGATAAGTGAAAGTTATAAGATTGGTTTAAGGGACAAGGAAAAAGTTGAAAAAGAAAACTGAGTTAGAAGTAGCATCAATGGCTGTTTTCTAGTCTGCTTTATTATTACTTCCTCTTTTTTTACTACCATAAACCAATTTGGGTAGCAAAAGGGTGAGGTTTTTATAGTTATCAATTTCCTGTGGGGGGATTTTTACTGATTTATTTGCCATTTCATCTCTTTAATGTTATAATGCTTTAAAATAGTAAAGAGAATGGAGAAGGGACCTTAGGCAAGTAATCTCTAATTAAGTTTTCTCATCTCTAAAATGGGAATAACAATAATAATACCTACATCATAGGGTTAGGGTGATAATAAGTTGAGTAATATATGTAAAGCATATAAAACAACGTCTAGGACAGGCTTATTCAAAAAACCAAACCCATTGCTGTTGAGTGGATTATGACTCATAGCGATCTTATAGGACAGTGTAGAACTGCCCCATAGGGTTTCCAACTGCCGACCTTTTGGTTAGCAGCCCCAGCACTTAACCACTGAGCCACCAGGGGCTCCGAATATAAGGCTTATAGGTGTTAGCTATTATTTGTATTATTTTAAGAGTATATTAAATTCTATATTCAGAAAACGAAAGCAATAAAAACTTGAGAATGACTCGATAAATCATCTTGGCTGGTGGGAATAAAAAGAAAATAGATTTATCACCAATTTTTAACTGTGTAGGGTAGGTTTGTTTTTTTTTTTTAAGTTTGGTTTGGCTTGATTATTAAAAGTTGACATGGGTTTTAAAAGGTTAAGAAACATTGCTTAAGGACGAAGGGAGGGGGATCATCTTTTTCTGTCTTAAAATAATGCTCAGTTTTGTTTTTGTTTTATGGAGATGCACTTTCTGATCATTGTTGGTAATTTTTATTAGCATGTACCACCCAAACTGGTATATCATCTTGTCAGCTTTGACTTCTGCTTACTAAATTTATAATACCCATGTTCATTTACTGAATCTTTTTTTTTCTCCATTGCAAAAAAGCTTTTTAAGTTTGTACTCTGTATAGCAAATGTTTCTTATTGAAGACACTTTTGACGTTTTGTTAAATAAGACTTCAACATACTAAAGACAAATGAACAAACCTGTCCCATGGGTATTAAATGGCAGTTATACACCTTCTTTCCCCAGTCATATTGACACCAGTGCCCCTACATAGTTCAAAAAGATCCCAGGTGGGTACTGCCCCCAATGAGAACCACTTCTACATATCTCTAAGGTCTCATTGTTACAGTGTCTGTATGAATCGGAATCGACTCCACAGCATTGAGTTTGGTGTTTTATTAGTTAGGCAGCAAATTATTATTTATGCCTAAATATGTTCCAGAATAAAATGAGCCATTAAACAAAGTGCCACACATTTCCTGTACCTAGTCACTTGAACCCTTATCTAAAACTCAGTCTACATGTATTGCAAAATCTAGTTATACCTTTCTCTTATTTTTAGCTCAGGTTACTCTCTTCTAATCTCTTTGCATGTATTTCTGCCTTAACAATTTTGCCTTTATATATTAGTAGCTTTTGTTCTTTTCCTGACTTTAAGCCTTTGTTTCCTTTTTTCATGACAGTGTAAAAATATATTATTTGTATATTTAAAATGGTCAGGTATGAATATTTCTTGAAAATTACTTTTATAAATCTTCTGGAGTTATGTTAACATAAACTGGTTTAAAACCAAAATAGTGTAATCTCCATAGTTATATCTTTTGGTTTTTTATTACATCTTGTTTATATATTTTTTAAAAATAGAGTGTTCTGTAAAATAGTAAGTGAGAAATGATGAGTATTAACAAATAAAGCACTTTTACTATATGCTTTTCCTAACATGAGTTTGATCAAAACAATAATTGATTTGCTTTAAATTGTGGTTTAGAAAACTAAGAATTACTTGTTTCCTCTCTTAGGTGCATAATAGAAAATCTTCGTACTAAGAGTTCGTTTTAGGTCTTAAAACTACAAGGATTTTTAAATATTGTATATTAGTCTCTCTATGATGGTGTTTCATAAATACCTAAAATCCATAGCGCTTTTTATCAGATCAAAGAAATTCCTGTAAAATATGGTTTTTTGATTATCTGTTCCACAAAGCAAAAGAAATTATACATTATCTACTTTATATACATTGTACCTAAGATACGACTTTTCATAGTGTAGTAAATTCCGCAGCAGTGTATTAAAAATAAAGTTTTTGTAATTAGGCCATGTATATATTTACACTGTATTCAAAATACAGTGTCTTTCTTTTGGGGGCTTCAGGGAGGCATCTATACATCTCATGATTTGTAAGCTTTATTGTTAAGCTGAAGTGAAAAGATCATTGCTAGATAGAAATTCTGAGAAGAAAAAGACCTTATCCTTTTTATATGGTGTAGGAAGTGCTGTTGCATGAGGTAGGTTTTAAGAATTGAGCTTCTGAAAAAATTGAACAGAAAAAAATTCCATGAGGTGTAGAGTGAAAATGAATGAAATGTGCTCAAAACTTTTAACAAAATGAAGTATCTCCATCCTAATGTTTTACTGTAGTCTCTCTAGTGAAATATCTGTAGTTTCTCGGGACCTGAATCACTAGAAATAATTATTATTTAAACCAGAACTTTTGTACAAAAAAAAGATTTTTTTAAATGTCGGGCTAAAGTGTATTTAAAATGTCAGAAGAGACTGGATTTTTATTATCTAGGTAAACAAAGGTTCTAAAGTGGTATTTTTAGTTCAGAAAACAGATGTACTCTTATTTCTTCTCATACGACGTTTAGAATCTCTTCTTGAAAATGGTCTTTTTTTTCCCCTCTCTCTCTCTTTCTCTATGAGCATTGGAGCAGTAAGGAACTCATTAAATATGGACAGATCATTTTAGTCTTTAATGGATTTTTTAAAACTGAAGAACGTGAATCTCAACATGATTGAAAAAGAAACTACTTGTTTGATGTTCTTTAGAAATTTGCTGGGGAATTTTTGTTTTTTAAAATAAAAGATTTTCAGCACAACAAGATGCATTTTAGTCTAGCCATGAAAAAATTAATAATAGCACTTAATGGAAGATAGAATTATTGGAATGTGAATTATTTTCTAAGAGTGAGATTGAAATTCAATTTCTTGTTGGAAGTTGCTCAACAAAGACTTGACATTAGTCTACTGGGGTGTCTTAGTCATCTAGTACTGCTATAACAGAAATACCACAAGTGGATGGCTTTAACAAAGAGAAATTTATTCTCTCACAGTCTAGTAGGCTACAAGTCCAAATTCAGGGCATCAGCTCCAGGGAAAGGCTTTCTCTGTCGGCTCTGGAGGAAGGTCTGTGTCATCAATCCTCTCTTGGTCTGGGAGCTTCTCTGCGCAGGAACCTCAGGTCCAAAGGGTGCGCTCTGCGCCTGGCACTGCTTTCTTGGTGGTATGAGGTTCCCCAGTCTCTGCTTGCTTCCCTTTCCTTTTATCTCTTGTAAGATAAAAGGTGGTGCAGGCCACACCCTATGGAAACTCCCTTTACATTGGATCAGGGATGTGACCTGGGTAAGGGTGGTGTTACAATCCCACCCTAATTCTTTTTAACATAAAATTACAATTGTAAAATAGAGGACAGCTACACAATTCTGGGAATCGTGGCTCAGCCAAGTTGATACACACCTTTTTTGGGGGACAAAATTCAAACTATGGCATGGGGGAAGTATATGTATACATATTGAATACATTTGGTGGAAAAAAATTGGATTATCTAGGGAACTGATAATGGTAAAGGAAAAGGCTGTTAAATCATTATCAGAAAGCTTTTATCAACTGACCAAATATTTATGGTTTTGTAATAGACATCTCCAAAGAAAATTATTTATCTCTGGCTTCCAAGAGATTGTAACCTATAAACGTGAAAGAATTTGTTTACAAAAGAAATTAAATCTATAAACTAATGAAGGTACAAGTAATGGCTCAGTGCTTTCCTGAACAGCAGGGATTAAGATGTTTCACTTAAGTAACTTTTCTAGGAAGTTAAAGTATATTTCAAAAGTCAGAACATTATTTTTATACTATTTTGGATGGAAATCTTTCTGATTTGTTTTTTCCTCATCAAATATAATAAACATAATTTAGGTTTTGTTGTTGTTAGCATCGTCATAAGGAAATTGGTGCTTATGTGTAGGATTGTTTTGCCCTTGCCTGAAATGGCCTCAAACTCCTCTGAGGTTTGAGTTCTTGTGTCTGCTTTCTATCTCCTACATCCCTCATTTCTCAGTCCTGAGAAAGATTATTTTTGCCAATAGGCAGTGGTTCCAAAAGAACAAGGGGATACTGTGTGGTTTAAAATCAGGAAAGGTGTGCATCAGGGTTGTATCCTTTCAACATACTTATTCAGTCTGTATGCTGAGCAAATAATCCGAGAAGCTGTATTATACGAAGAACTATACGAAGAAAATGCAGCATCAGGATTGGAGGAAGATCCATTAACAACCTGCAATATGCAGATGAGCCAACCTTGCTTGCTGAAAGTGAAGAGAACTTGAAGCATTTACTAATGAAAGTCAACGACTACAGTCTTCAGTATGGATTCCACCTCAACATAAAGAAAAATCCTCACAACTGGATCAATAAACAGCACTCAGGATGAATGGAGAAAAGACTGAGGTTGTCAAGGATTTCATTTTACTTGGATCCACAACACCCATGGAAACAGCAGTCAAGAAATCAAACAACATATTGCATTGGGCAACTGTGTTAAAAGTGTTAAACGCAAAGATGTCACTTCGAGGACTAAGGTGTACCTGACCCAAGCCATGGTATTTTAATCACCTCATATGCATGCGAAAGCTGGACAATGAATAAGGAAGACCGAAGAAGAATCGATGCCTTTGAATTTTGGTGTTTGCGAAGAATGTTGAATATACCATGGACTGCCAAAAGAACAAACAAATCTATCTTGGAAGAAGTACAGCCAGACTGCTTCTTAGAAGCAAGAATGGTGAGACTTTTGTTTCACGTACTTTGGATATGTCATCAGGAGGGACCAGTCCCTGGAGAAGGGCATCGTGCCTGGTAAAGTAGAGGGTCAGCAAAAAAGAGGAAAACTCTCAACAAGTTGAATTGACACAGTAGCTGCAACAGAGGACTCAAACATAACAATGATTGTGAGGGTGGCACAGGACCCGGCAGTGTTCCATTGTGTTGTATGTAGGGTCGCTATGAGTCAGAATCGACTCAGCAGCACCTAACAGCAGCAGCATATGGAGCTTTATTTATTTTGGTATTTATGTTAGCTGTTGAGACGCTTGTTTTGCTTTCTTTGTGACTCTGAGCGATATTCCAAAAGACAATTTGGTAAGCGTGAGGTGGTTTTTAAACTGTGGCTCATCCAAATTTCTGGTATCAATATTCTCCTTTCCAAGATTCTAAAGTGAACGTCAGTGGATATAAAATAGCTAGCTATTTCCAACTTCCAGACTGTTAACAAATGTATCAGTATAACATTCACTTTTGTGTAATTTATGGAAAATAAGTGTGTATTATTCTGAATCACTATGGTGGGGCAATGATTAAGCGCTTGGCTGCTAACCAAAAGGTTGGTGGTTTGAACCCAGTAGCCGCTTCTTGGGACAAAAGACCTGGCGATCTGCTCCTGTAAAGATTACAACCTAGGAAACCCTATGGGGCATTTCTACTCTGTCCTATAGGGTGGCTGATCTCTGAGTCGGAATCAACTCGAGGGCAGTGGGTTTAGAGGTAACAAGAAATCCAACATTTTAACTTTTTAAATTGGTTGTCAAAGTGATTATGTGGAAGTAAATAAAAGTTGTCAAGTTAGGATGCAATACTATATTTTTTAACTTGTCACCAATTATGTCATTCAGTTTAATTTTTCAAGGAATTATTTTTCTGTTTTATAAAGCTATGGGAAATCCAGAAAACATTGAAGAGGCATACGTTGCTGTTATTCGTCCAAAGAATACCGCCAGTCTCAACTCTCGTGAATACAGAGCTAAGTCATATGAAGTGAGAAAAAATTAATAATGTTTGATTTGCTAGTATTGAATGTCAATTATCATGTATATACAGTCTTACCATGTCCTATACATTCTTATTGACAAGCTTATTATTCTAGATCTTTGCCTATCACTGTCTTTTTTTCTGCTGCATGCCTTTTGACCATGTTGCTATTCATTGACATGTGTAGGTTTTTAAATGTTCCAAATTACTCATTTGAGTTTTCTTTAAAATGTGTATATTCAGCTTTTTGTACAATATATGAAATGGCTCCCAAAAATTAAGTAAAACCACTGCAAAAAAAAAAAAAAAAAAAAAAAACCTCCTTCAAAATTTCTATCTATATAGTGTTCTTGGTTATTTTCTCAACTATTTTTAACAGTCATTTTAAAATAATCTTTTTTACCTTTAAATTTTGGGCAATTGATTTATTTCTCTGTAGTCTTGAATTATATTACATATGCTAGTAACCATGTAATTAAGGCAAAATATGTACATAACAGAATTGTTATCTTTTCTATGCAACAGATTCCAAACACCATGAAATATTTCTAATCTAACCTGACTCCAACTGATTTCTCTAGCATTTTGCTTTAACTGCTTTTCTAAGGTTAGTCGTTGGACGCCTATTAACGGTTACTGCAGGGGTTCTCAGTAGGCTGCTGCTACTGCAGCAGTGCTTTGGCTTAGTGGTTCTCAACCCTGGCTGCACTTTAGAATCACCTGGGGAACTTTTAAAACTCCCAGTAACCAGGGCCCCATTCCTCTGAAGATTCCTCCTCTGTTAGGGCTGAGATGGGCCTGGACATTCATATTGTTTTAAAAGCTTCCCAAGCTATTCTAAAACGTAGCTAGGGTTGAGAAAGACTATTAGCTTGTTGTAGTATTCTAGGGGAAGTGAATTTTAATTTGAACTTTTAATATTTTCTCATCAAAGATTTTGTTGCATGAAGTTCCCATTGAAGGACAGAAAAAAAAGAGAAAGAAAGTTTTGCTGGAAACTAAACTTCAAGGCAACAGTGAAATAACACAAGGCATATTGGATTATGTAGTAGAAACCACCAAGCCAATTTCTCCTGCAAACCAGGGTATCAGAGGTAGGAGACCTTTCTTTCTCTTGACAATTTACTTTAAATACTTGTGAAAAGAGGGACTTTTTTAAAAAAAATATATATTAAAATCAGTATCTTTATATTTCTTTCCATTTAAAAAACTTGAATAAGACTCAGAAAGGTTTTTTAAGTTTCAGCCAAGCCCCTTCAAGAAGTAACTTGACTAATTTTTTTTAAAGTTGAAAAATAATTGTAAAAAGTCACAGTGTTAATGATTCATTCAATAGAAAGAAGAAAAAATAAAGCGGTAATTTGAAAACTAAAAGAGTATAAATTACTCTTGCTAGAAATACAGTTCCCTAGATAAGTATCTCTGAATTATTTTTATTTCTGCACTCCAAGACAGCAAAAACTATAGACTTCTCTCTATAACGAAGTAAAAGTCGAGATTCATGGATCGGGAGAGTCCTTGAAGTTACTAGGTAGCAGAAGTTTTCTTCCCATTTGGTAACGGGAAGAACACCCTTTTCAAAGAGCCAAGCTGAAATGTACAAGTATTAATCCTGAAAGATTGAGGCCCCATTTAAAATATTAGATAATAAATAGCATAACAGACTGATTTAAAATTAAAGATCAGTTTTCTCAAGCCTCATCCTCAGAAGAAGCAGGTAGCATTCAGAAGCTTCAGAAAATATTAACTATTTCCAAAATGGTTGTGTTTTTGTTGGTTGCCATTAACTTGATTCCCAGGTATGGCGACTCCATGTGTGCAGAATAGGACTACTTCGTGAGACAGTGGTTAAGAGCTTGGCTGCTAACCAAAAGGTCAGCAGTTCGAACCCACCAGCTGCTCCTTGGAAACTCTGTGGGGCAGTTCTGTTCTGTCCTATAAGGTCGCTATGAGTCAGAATTGACTTAATTTTCAAGGCTGTGACCTTTAGGAAGCAGATTGTCAGGCCTGCCTCCAAGGTGCCTCTGGGTGAGATCGAAGTACCAGCTTTTTGGTTGGTAGTTGAGTGCTTAACCATTTGTACCACCCAGGGACCAAGATTGAGGCATAATTATTAGAAAGATAAAACAAACTTTTTTTTTTTTTGTTTTGTTTTAATGAAGAGAAGTTTATTTCCTCACAAAGTAGGCTGAAAGTCCAAATTCAGGGCGTCAGCTCCAGGGGAAGGCTTTTTCTCTCTGTCGGCCTTCTTCTCTTCGGTGTTCCCCCGGACTAGGAGCTTCTCGGCGCAGGGACCCCAGTCCGGAGGATGCGCTCTGCTCCCGGCACTGCTTTCTTGATGGTATGAGGTCCCCCAGGATAAAACAAACTTTAATCAAACAGCCATTGAAAATAGTTTTTAGTGAAGAAGTATTTCTCTGTGCCTACTTTTTTGGGTTTTTTTTTTTTTTAAAGCTTATTCAGTGTATTTTTTTCCTGTTCCTCTGAATAGAGATAAGTTGTCTGACTCATTTGTTTCAATAAGGAGACTATTTTTGTTGCAGAGTTACAGCTGGTTGGTCTGATTTCATTTATTTATTATTTTGAGTATGTTCTCTGGGGAGAACTATAAATCTGTGTTCTCTAACTTTTGGAGATACTGTTTACCATATTTTATTTGAAGAATTGGATAACCTCCCCAATAGGGATTTTTAAAGAGTTTCTGTGGGTTGGGGCTCTGAGTATTGTAACTCAGGATTATGAGAAGTTCCTGCATAAACTTACAGAACTTTGATACACATTCTTAGTCCCACAAAAAGAATCCCCTTTTCCTAATTAGCAGACTTACTTTTTTTTTTTTAATTATGCTTTAGATGAGGATTTACAGAGCAAATTAGTTTCTTATTAAACAGTTAATACACATTGTTTTGTGACATTGGTTGCCAACCCCACTACATGTCGACACTCTCCCTTTCTCCACCTTTCCCCATTACCAGCTTTCCTGTCCCCTCCTACCTTCTCGTCCTTGCCACTGGACTGATGTGCCCATTTAGTCTCGTTTTGTTTTATGGGCCTTTCTGTCTGATCTTTGGCTGAAAGGTGAACTTCAGGAGTGACTTCAGTACTGAGTTAAAAGGGTGTCTGGGTGCCATACTCTCGGGGTTTCTCTAGTCTCTTTGTCAGGCCAGTAAGTCTGGTCCTTTTTGGGGAGTTTGAATTTTCTACATTCTTCTCTAGCTCTGTCTGGGACCCTTTATTGTGATCCCTGTCAGAGCAGTCGGTGGTAGTAGCTGGGCACCATCTAGTTGTGCTAGACTCAGTCTGATGGAGGCTGTGGTAGTTGTGGACCATTAGTCCTTTGGACTAATCTTTCCTTTATATCTTTGGTTTTCTTCATTCTCCCTTGCTCCAGACAGGTTGGGACCAGTGGAGTATCTTAGATGGCCACTCATAAGCTTTTAAGACCCCAGATGCTACTCACCGAAGTAGGATGTAGAGCATTATCTTTATAAACTGTTATGCCAATTGTTCCCCAAGGCCATGGTCCCCAGCCCTCAGCCCAGTAATTTGGTCCCTCAGGAAGTTTGGATGTGGCAGACTTACTTTTAATAAAATGATCTTGTAACTGATCTTAGCTCAAAAAAAAAAAAGAGACTGTCTTTGTGGGTGATCAGGTATGTGAAAGACTCCTTTTGAATGTTACAAAGTTAGCCAGCCTTTTCTGCCTCGGTCTTGGACTTTTCTGGTAAAATTCCTTCGAGACTTGTTCCACTATTGCTAAATTGTTGTAGTTGAACTGCCCTGAGACTAAATTCCTGAAACACGTATTTGAGCTGAGATCAACAAGTCATAATTTGCTATGAATCATCCAAGCTCTACCACTCGTCCATTCACCCAGAGAGGGAATGAAGAGGTGCCAGTGTTAACAAAAATGTCCCCTGGCCCAGAGGGCTGGATAATTTCCCTTAAGATGAGTTATTAGTGGACAGGCATCCTGCAACATGTTCAGCACAATTATGCCTTGTGTTCTTAGGCAGTAAAATGTGCTAATAAAGAAAAATAGAGAAGTTTTGCTTAACCAAATGATTGTATTTATCAGTCATACTCTATCTTGAGTATCCTATTCAGCTGAGTTTTTCTAAACGCATGAAATATTTTTATAGAGCGATATGATTGATTATACAAGCATTGCATGAAAATCTCAAATGACGTTATAGTAGCAGTAGTCATGCCTTACATTTTTGTGCAGTACTACAGGTAGTTTAGGTGGCTGGGAGACGCAAAAGGTTAAGCACAAGACTACTAGCCAAAAGGTCGATGTTTCAAACCTACCCAGAGGCACCTCGGAAGACAGGCTTGGCAATTTGCTTTTGAAAGGTCACAGCCTTGAAAACCCTGTGGAGCACTTCTGTTCTGCATTCACGGGGTCACCACGAGTCAGAATTGACTAGGCAACTGACAACAACAATAGATAGTTTACAAAGTGGTGCCATTCATATTTATAAACGAGATCCCTAAATTGATCCTGCCAGTTGGTGTGTGGTCATTTTCACATCTGTAAAATGCAAATGAAATGCAGATATAGGTTGTCACCTACTAAGATCATATTGCCATTAGTGGAGCAATTGGGACTAGAGTTTGTCCTTTAGTCGGTGCTTTTTTTTCTTCTCCCACACAGATCTCATAGTTAAATACAACTAAGTAAACTTTTAAAGTAAGCAATTAAACAGTGGATCAGAACCGGGTTTTGGGACGCAGCAAGGCAGGAAAGATTAAGTGGGAACAAGACCTCAAGCCAAACAAAAGAAATATTACCGCTGAACTTTATTAGACTGTTATTCTTTATCTAGCACATAACATTTTGTACTACTGTCCGTCTTGTAAAATAGTTGTTTGGAGACTAATAATAGTGGGCCATAATAATCATAAATATTGACTCTAGTATTTTGTGAGTAAATGAACCTGCTTGAAGTCTTATAGTACCTACCTGTCCACAGAAGGCATACCACCTGCCAGCTAGGCATTTCTACGTGGGTCAGGAACAAGGTTCTATTTCTTAGAATAGGGAGATTGGAAGGGTTGATAAAAATCGTGGCAAAGGTATCTAGAGGATGAGAGGTTTTAGGGTGCAAGACTTGTAGATTAATATTTATAGCCTGCTTGTTGCCAAATCAGGAAAAACAGACTAAGATTGATGTTACAATTCAGAACAATAGCATATAATCCAGTCAGATTTTAATACAAATTGAGGGTAGAGGCTGAATGTTAAAGGAAGAGCTACTAAACCATAGGACTTTGCAATTTATGTATACCGCCCTTCTTAGCCAGCCCAGACTCTAGTAACATTCTTCCTGTCTACATCCCAGCTAGGTGAGAAAGCATATGCCTGTTGCTCCTGCATAACCAAAAATAAACAGACAAACCCATTGCCATCAACTCGATTCAGACTCACGGTGACCCCATGTGTTACAGAGTAGAACTGCTCATAGGGTTTTCTTGGCTGTAAACTCTATGGAAATAGATGACCAAGCCTTTCTACTGCGACGCCACTGGGTAGATTTTAACCACCAACCTTTAGGTTAGTAGTCAAGTGCAAACCATTTGTGCCACCCAGGTACCTTCTGCCCCTACATAGTACTTTGCTATTCAGCCATTCTCTCAATCCTTGGCAAGACAGTCTTCCTTGCTATGCATAAGTGGCTTCTATTTTAGTGAGTCAAGACCAGGACCCTGAACCTACCGGTTGATTATTCTTAGAATCATACAGTATCAGAATTATCACTTCTTACTTGTGCATGTAATAAAATGGACTGTTATTATATTTGCATTCCTTTTAATGTGGCCTTTAAAAATATTTTATGATTCTCAAAGTTGTTTATAAGATTTAAAAGCCCATTGTAAGCTTTTACCTTTGCTAACTTTTTTTAAATGATTAGGAAAACGAGTGGTATTGATGAAGACATTTCCTCTGGATGGAGAGAAGATGGGCAGAGAAGCAGCATTATTTATTGTTCCATCTGTTGTCAAAGGTAAAGTCTAAATTTGTCTTTTGAATCTTTATGTACTTCAGATGCTAAGTTAAATTCTGTTGAGGAACTTAGGAATTGTATTCGTAATTACTACTATGAAATGGTTGTAAAATACATGTTTTCAGTTTATTAATAAAAGATGAGCTGATTTGTTACACAAAACTGTTTTAATTTCAAGGTAATTTACAGGCTTCTGGGCTGAATAGTGATGTTTTTCTTTCTTTTTTTTTTTTTTAAGTAGAATAGTGAGGAGGAGGAAAACCTTAATTAAAATTAAAAGAGTTCAGGTTATAATAAAGTTTTTTTTTCCCCAAAGAAGAAGCTGTATATAGAATCCAAAAACTCATTGCCATTGAGTCGATTCCAACTCACAGCGACCCTATAGGACAGAGTAGAACTGCCCCATAGGGTTTCCAAGGAGCAGCTGATGGATTTGAACTGCCAAGCTTTTGGTTAGCAGCCATAGCTCTTAACCACTTCACCACCAGGGCCCAATACATAGAACAGAAATAGATATTTAAGTATTCTGGAAAATTAACAAATTATGACCAGGACCTACCTTGTATTTGGAACAATAAGCTGTCAGTGATAATTCTAAAATCCTCTCACCCACAATATTGGTAAAATTTAAAAAAAGATCTAGTAAGAAAAATCAACTAGAGCCTTTAACATTGTGGAATAATAGAAAAAATATTACATTTCAGTGCAGACCTTTCGGCCCACTAATTTTTTTTTTAACATTTTATTATATTTTAGGTGAAAGGTTATACAGCAAATTAGTTTCCCATTCAACAATTTATATGCAGTTTGTTGCATGACATTGGTTGCTATCCCTGCAATGTGTTAGCACTCTCTCCATTTCCACCCTGCCTTCTCCATTTCTATCCCTCCAGTTTCCCTGCCCATCCTTGCCTTCTCATCTTTGCTTTTGGGCGGATGTTGCCCGTTTGGTCTCATACAGTTGATTGTTTTAAGGAGCACATTCCTCATGGGTGTTATTGTTTATTTTGTAGGCCAATCTGTTATTTGGCTGAAAGGTGACCTCCCAGAGTGGCTTCAGTTCCAGGTTAAAAGGGTGTCTTAGGGCGATAGTTTCAGGTGTTCCTCCAGTCTCTTTATCAGTCCAGTAAGTCTGGTCTTTTTTATGAATTTGAGATTTGTTCTACGTTTTTCTCCCATTCCAACCAGGACCTTCTATTGTGTCCCTGGTCAGAGTGGTTGTTGGTGGTAGCCAGGCACCATCTAGTTCTTCTGGTCTCAGGCTAGAGGAGTCTGTGGTTTATGTGAGCGATTAGTCCTGTGGACTAATTGCTTCCTTGGGTCTTTGGTTTCCTTTGCTCTCCTTTGCTCCAGGTGGGAAGATACCAATAATTGTATCTTAGATGACTGCTTGCAAGCTTTTAAGACCACAGACACTACTCACCAAACTAGGATGTAGAACATTATCTTTATGAACTATGTTATGCCAGTTGACCTAGATATCCCTGAAGACTATGGTCCTTAGCCTTCAAGCCCAGTAACTCCGACCCACAAGGTGTTTGGGTATGTCTAACAAGTTACCATAACTGTGCCGCCTATGTGCTCTGTTATATATATGAATATATATGCAGCGCATACAAATATGTTTATACAAATGACCACAACTCTACCTATATATGCATGCACATGTACTCCCACACCCCCTTCCACACCTATATAACATACATATCTTCCTGTGTAACCACTGACAAATTTTTGGTTGCTGTTACTGCTGTGGCTGCCCATTAATTTTGTGATCTTGGGCAAATCACCTCTTTAAACCTCAGTTTCTTATTTATAAAATAGGAACCATATTGGTAGCTGCCCCTCCTTGGTTCATGGGACTGGAAGAACTCAGTGAGGTATTGGATGTGAAACACTTTGGGAATACAGAATACTGGCCTCTTGTGAGATGGTAAAAATACTGATGATACTAATGCCCCACCATGGGCATCCTATCAGCCTTCTGACACAGTACCTACACAAGTTTTATTAGCCAGTGTAGCATTCCAGATATATTTTTTTCCTGCCATACTTAGGTTAAAAAGTTTACTATGTCAAATGGTGTTGGAGATCTTATTAATAAGACAACATTGTTGAAGAATTTATGTTATACTTAGCGAGTTTTTTTTTTTAACATACTGTATACTTTTAAATGAAAAACATAACAATTATAAACCTTTTATATAATGGCATAATTCTTCATTTTTCTTTTTCAGATAATACTAAGTATACATATACTCCAGGATGCCCAGTTTTTTACTGCTTACAAGATATTATGCGCGTCTGTAGTGAATCCAGCAGTCACTTTGCTACACTTACAGCAAGGATGTTAATAGCCTTGGATAAGTAAGAAATGCCATTAATAATATTTTTTAATAAATTAAATACATGTACATAGTAGAACTTTGCTGTGATAGATATAGACTTTTAGAGGAAAGTAATGAAGTTAATAATACATATATTAAGAAAATAATAAGCTTTTGAAGTATAATATAAAAATGAAAAGCCCCTAACAAAATTTTCTTGATCTGCCTGCAACATGTTAATTTTATTCTTCAAGAATGACAGAGGGAGCCCTGGCTTAATAATTAAGATTCCCCTATTATAAAACTAGACTTAGTATTAAAATACTCCTATCGGTGTATGTAGCCTATCATGCCTTTGTCTTTCTGTAGCAATAGAATTAATTTCACCTACATCTCAGTAGTTCAAGTTTATTAAAAAGTACTTCAACTTGTGCACCGATGTTCATTGCATCATTATTTACAATAGCCAAAATGTTGAAACAACCCAACTGTCCATCAGCAGATGAATATATAAACAAAATGTGGTATATGCATACAATGGAGTATTATTTAGCCAGAAAGAGAAATGAAATTCTGATCAATGCTAAAACATCAACAAACCTTGAAAACATTATGCTAAGTGAAATAAGTCAGACACAAAAAGATGAATATTGTATGATCCCACTTAAATGAAGTATCTAGAATATGCAAATGTATAGAGACCAGAGTTTATTAGTGGTTATTAAGGGCTAGGGGGAGGGAGAAATGGGGAGTTTTTACTCAAAGGGTGTTGAGTTTCTGTTTAGGATGATGAAAAAATTTCAAAATGGATAATGGTGATAGTTGCACAAAACAACAATTAATGCCACTGAATTCTACACTTAAAAATGGTTAAATGTCAAATTTTATGTTACATATATATTTACCACAGTAAAACTTAAAAACAAAAAACAACCAACAAAAAAAGTACTTCATATTTTTTGAAAGAAGTTTTATTATTATAATAATGTAAATTCTTTAAAAAAGTATTTGTTGTGTCCATTAATAAAACTTCTATTAATAATAAATGAAGTGCTTAATGCCAGTTAAAAATACAGAAGTTTGAATGTAATATTAAAAAGTATCTCATATAAAAGTTGGATGATAGTCTACTTTGTTCATCTTTACTTTTGAACAAATACTTTTATGACTTCTTCCTTATCTTGCAGGTGGTTAGATGAACGTCATGCACAATCTCACTTTATTCCAGCTTTATTCCGACCTTCTCCTCTTGAGCGGATAAAAACTAATGTCATAAACCCTGCATATACTACTGAATCAGGTCAGACAGAAAACTCACTACATATGGGCTATAGTGCACTAGAAATAAAGAGTAAAATGTTAGCCCTAGAGAAAGCAGATACCTGTATTTACAACCCTTTGTTTGGATCAGATCTTCAGTATACAAACCGGGTAAGAGTTAAATGAATTTTGACTCTGATTTCAAATTTAATTTTTCTGAGATAAATACATCTATAACTAATTATAAACATTAAGGTGACACCCACACTTAAGCTATAAAGTCAAGTATCTAAAGTTCTTAAGGGTTTTTTATTTTCGTTTTGTTTTCCCTTTCTAGGTAGATAAAGTGGTAATAAATCCATACTTTGGTCTAGGAGCTCCAGACTACTCAAAAATTCAAATTCCCAAACAGGAAAAATGGCAGAGAAGCATGAGCAGTGTCACGGAGGACAAGTACTGTTTTGGTTTTACTCCATGTTGCTTTTTTAAAACTTACATTTTAAAAATACATTTTCAAATTATATATTCAATTAGTATGCAATGTAGTCACTGGTTTGCAGCTGCTTATTGATACATAGCTTTCAGAGATATGTCACCGTATGTGTTGAAACAATTTGAATTCAACTGTAACTTTTTTTAACAAATGTTTTAATTTGTTTTCAATGATTAGGGAACGACAGTGGGTAGATGATTTTCCGCTCCATCGAAGTGCCTGTGAAGGAGATTCAGAATTACTAAGCCGACTTCTCAGTGAAAGATTTTCAGTCAACCAGTTAGATAGTGACCACTGGGCTCCTATTCATTATGCATGCTGGTAAATGGATTACTTATTCTTTTATTTTTAGAAAGAGAAAAAGTTAAAATGTTAGTGCTTCTTTTCAGTGTTAGTGCTTCTTTTCAAAACTGAATCAGGTTAGACAGAAAACTCACTACTTACGGGCTATAGTTCACTTAGCCCTGTATGTGTTCTTATTCCAGGCATTTTTTCTCTACCATGTTTGCTTGATAAACTTTGTATTTAGATCTTTGATTACTGTATATGTGCCACTGTTCAGAACTCTAATGTGTCCCATATGGAAAATCATCTTCAGTGTTCTTAGGCATTGCCAAGTTATGCAAGTAGTATAGCTAATCACTAGTAAATGTCGTTGCATAGCACAAGGTCCCTTATTCACCCTTGAAGTTTCTGTTGTTTTGTATTGGGTTTATGTTGTGTTTGTTTATCCTTACTATAAAATTCTACATCATGTTAGAGGAGTATCCTTTTAGTTTTTTGGGAAGCTGTGGTATCAAGAAGCCCCCAAAAGTCTTCAGTGGAGTCACAGCCTTCCATTTATTGTTTAGATGTGACAGTTGAGACAGGATTGAGATTAACTCTATCCACTAGTTGCCCCATGTCGCTCTTGCTCTCCTGCTCATGTCACATAATAATAACAACTCTTCCTCAACAGACATTTGAGAGTAGCTAAATATATCTAGGGAGATCTGGTGGTGCAGTGGTTAAGAGCTTGGCTGCTAACCATAAGGTCGGCAGTTCGAACCCACCAGCCGCTCCTTGGAAACCCTATGGAGCAATTCTACCCTGTCTGTTAGGGTCACTATTAAACCTTTCTACTCTCGAGCCCCTAAACTACTCCTGCTTTCTTCCTCTAGTCTCATCAGATAGCTTTAACCTCTATTTTCAAAGAAAAGTGAAGCTATGAGAAATGACCTTCTCTGTCTCTAATGATCAATTTATTGTTCCTGTCTCTCTTCTGTATTGTAGGGTATGCATGTAAAAATCCTTCCTACTACCCACTAAATTCACTCTTTCCTTTTCTGCGCTTTCTTTCCTCTTGCCTTCAAACACGCATGGTTCTCTCCTCCTTAAAAAGAACCTTAAATTGAACCTGCTGCCTCTTCTAGCCACTGTCTTGTTTCTTTCCCTCCTTTCACAGACAGACTTCAAAGATGAATGGGCCACACTTTCTCCTTTCACACATCATGAACGTTCTTAACTTTTTCTGAGTTTCTAATCTCTTTCCCTGCTCTGCAGCATTTTATACTGTTGACCACCTATCTTCCCTCTAAGAACAAATTGGAATCAAGAGGGCATAATGGAGCTGTAATGACAAATGCAAGATATTATTGTTATGGTATCATTATTGAAATACTGGCCTCCATTCTGTGATCCAAGTATTTGTCATAGTATAGAAACTGCTATGCCAAGATTCAGTAAACTGGATTCTAACTCTGGCTAGTAACCATGTGACCTTATCAGGTAGATTTTCAACTATCAGAGAAATAATAGAACTTAACCTGAAAAAATAAGGAGGGGGAAAAGGTCGTATCAGGAGTAGGAAAGAACATGACCAAAAAGGTCACATAAATAAAGGATAGGATGTAAGTGGTAAGTTCAGGGCATTAAAAGAACGGTAGGATATGTGAAGAAGAAAGAAAGGAAGGTTCAGAGCAAATTAGATCAGTTCTTAAGACGTCCTGTTTCCCTCTCATACACGTCATATCTAAACACAAATTTCCCTTCTTTCCCCACCTACCCACTTAATTTCAAACAATGAATTACTTTTTCACCATTTCTTCAGATTGCTGCCTTACGTAAGTCTTTGGACTTAACCAAATGGTTGACTCATTATGTCTGCCGCTTACTTTGTGTTCTTCCAGGTTCTTGCTTTTGCTTACTCTTTTTCCTCCTACCTAAATTATTTTACCTCTCTTTAGTTCCTTCCTGTTTAAAATCCAGTTCAGATTCTTCTTCTATCAAATCACTTTTTGGGACCATCTTAGGCTGAAGTATATCTCCCCTTCTGACTTTTTTTTTTAAAACATTAATTCTCTACTATTTTGATATGACAATTATATAGCACCTTATCTTTTTTATTGTTATTCTAAACCGTTACTTAAGTTTTTAGCATTATTTAAAAAACCCCATGTTTATGTTTTGCCCCTTTGACTAGATTGTAAGTCTTTATCAGAGCAGAGACCATGTGCTTACATATCTTTGTGTCTTCCATATTGCCTAATACAGCAGCTACATATAGAATTATATCTTTGGGACTATTTTGTAAATCACAGCCAAGCCTCAGTAAAACATTCCTAATAAGTTTTTTTTACAGTTACTTCTTGATTTGACCCTGTTTTTTTATTAAAAATTGTATATATTCCTTATTTATAATTTGTATACCTGATGTTGTATGTAGTGTTTCTCTATCATCTGCTCTACCATATATTTGAGGTTATACTTTCTCCAGCTGATCAGAAATAGAAACAGTTGATCTGAACCAGAATTATTCAGAAGAAATCCCTAGACACTCAAAACATTTACATCAGTGTCTTAATCCCTTGCTCTCTATCCTAGAAAAATCTTAGAAATCTTTGGGATGTCACCTAAAATTTGGATTTTTGAAACATTTCAGATGACTTTTTTAGGTAAGTTTTACTTTTTTATAGGTATGGAAAAGTTGAAGCCACTCGCATATTATTAGAGAAAGGAAAGTGCAATCCAAACCTTTTAAATGGACAGCTTAGTTCTCCTCTTCATTTTGCTGCTGGAGGAGGACATGCTGAAATAGTACAGATTCTTCTAAACCATCCAGAAATTGACAGAGTAAGTTATTTTCCAACTTTTTTTTTAAAAATATTCCACAGTGAATAACAAGACACTAAAATGTTTAATTGTATACTTGAGAGGTAAGCTGAAAAATAAAAACAACTTGCATTTACTATATAGAATAACTAATGTTTATGTATAAACATTGCCTTTGTATATAAAATCTAACCAATACTCATTTTATATTGTTTTTCCTCAAAAATCTTCAAAAAGAAAAAAGATTTTCTACCTAGTTTTTATAATTTGTAGTAATAAGTGTTTTATAAAGGAAAAAGTCATAACATTAACAAAATCTTTGTTGTATCTATAATTAGAATTATTAAAAAAAATAATTACATTGATTGGTGCTTTAAATTTCTTATCTTTGGAAACTTATGTTTAAGCGTAGGATGTACAAAGTATGGTTAATATTTACTTAATACTTGACAAGAATTTACTTTTTATGAAACTGAGTAAATGAATGACATCTTCCCTTGCAATACCATGTTTGTAATGACTTTCTATTTTTTTTCCCCACATTTCTAGCACATAACAGACCAACAAGGAAGGTCCCCATTAAACATCTGTGAAGAAAACAAACAGAATAACTGGGAAGAAACTGTAAAATTGTTGAAAGAAGCCATTAATAAACCGGTAAGAATTATTTTCATAAATAGTTAGAGCCAAGTATAGTATTTATATTGATAAGTAATTTGAGAATCTGTGGCAAGAGTGGAGGGATGGATAGATGGATGGATTCTTCTTTACAGCTTTTATAAAACCACAGTGTTAGATTTCATGGTATTACATGTGTCATCCCTAACCCTAGGACATTTATTTTTACTTAACAAAATAAAAGTTTTAAAGCACTTGAAGTTAATCTAATTCCAGTATAATCTCTATAACTCATGTGCTAATTACAAATTATTCTATTCATTGAGGCATATCCCTCTACTTAGGCCTTCTAAGCAACATTTTATATTTGTAAATACACCTATTCCTCACTTATTGACATGGTTAGGTTCCAAAGATCAGGTCATTAAATGAAAATCGGCATTAGGCAAAAATGGAGAATGACTACATTAGATCACAAAATGGAAGATGACCACATCATTACATAACTGCCAAATTATTTCATTACATAACTGCCAAACCACTGAGAATCATGGCCCAGCCAAGTTGACACATAACCTTAACCATCACAGCCAGCGTTACTCTTGCCTTGTACCTTGGTCTATTACTGCCAGATGTACATTGTTAATGCACAAAATAGTCAGATAGTAGATTTTTTACTACTGTCATTAATGTGAAATGTCAGATAACGAGATAGTGGATAAGTGAGGAGTAGGTGTAATAGCTTTGCACATCATTTTTAAAAATTCATTGATTTAATTTCCGCAAGTTACTCATTGCCTTCCTAAAGAAAGTGAAAGTGTTGAAATAGGTAATTTCCTAGCTCTTTTATTCTGCTAATTCAACCTGGCCTTTCCCTTTAATTAGTCCAAAAGAAACTCATAAATCTAATGCTGAGTACACACAGCTGTTGAAAGAGTATTATATTAAAAAGAGTGAAATTTAAAGCCATAACATTAAGGTAGAGAAGAATTAACAACTAGAAGAAACTCAAATATGCCTAAAAGTCATAGTGGTGATGGAATTATCTATTTAAAAAGTTTGAAAACCTGCAAACCAGATAAAAGGATTTTTCTAAGACAAGTCTGTAATAGAAGTTTTATACCAACAGATGTAACCAATATATCTGAGCATTTCAGAATATTACCAGCTAGCCAGAAAGTATTTGTTGAGTATTTTTGTAGATTTAACACTATGAAATGCTGAAATTGAAAGAGAATAAATATATGATCTCTACGTTTAAGGAATATTACACACACACACACTCATACCCATTTTGTCAAAACACTTTGTCATGAACACAGGATGAAACCCAAGGAAATAGATACGTGGAATAAGCATTGCATCACTGCAATATAACTTTTAGCTGTATAGTTACAACATATATTTATTCCTTTATGTATTTTCTTTTCATCTTTTTCCATGTTGTTGATTTTGTGTTTGCTAAGTCTTTATATTTTTCTAGTTTTTTATTTTGACTTGTAGGATTGTTAGTTTCTTTTGTGGTTACCTTAATACCTACCCCTATTTTTCTAAGTTTATACCGGTGTTTTATTTCTTTATATCGCCTTGACTTCCTCTCCATATGAAAAATCTATGTCTACATTTTTTAAGTCCGTCTTTTTTGTTTTAATGTTGTCATCTTTTACATATTGACATCTGTTTCCCTATTTTCAGTGTTTTAGCTTTGATTTACTTTTGTGACTTCCCTATCTGGGTTGATATCTGGTTGCTCTGTCCTATGTTCTAGTCTTG